TTCACTTAAAACTGTGCTAGATGAAACGGTCCAGATTGATTTTATAAAATGTCGACCATTACAGTCACGACTATTTAAAATTATATGTGAAAATATGGGTAGTCCCTACTCTGCTCTGCTTTTGCATTCAGAAGTCCATTGGCTATCACAAGGTAAAGTCCTTGTTAGAATGTTTGAATTGTGTCAAGAGTTGTATAGCATATTTCCAGGATCATAAATTTGGATTATCTGATCGATTAACAAACACATTGTGGTTATCCAAAGTAGCATATCTTGCAGAGATATTCACAAAATTAAATGATGCATTCATCTTTATAGAAGAGATTTTAGAAACGTTTGTCTGTTACATGGAGTAAAATAGGTTCACAGCCTGGAAAACAGCCCAAAAGCCAACAGAGATGGATCCAGCAGTTACTTTGATTGGATATTGATTAAATTCCTGCCATCCCTTCACTATTATTCTTGAGCCCTCAGCATTACATTTGAATATTTTCTGGATGGTAAAAAAAATCATATATATAGGTTTTTAATTCAGTCTGAAATATGCCAGTAGCCTGGAATGGCAGAGTAAGTAGCCTGTCCTATGTGTTTCATAAATCAGATTTGTGTTGAGGCCTACTTGGTAATCTCACCTTTCACTGGAAAGTTGGTGACGTGAGATATAAGAGAGTGTAAAGGTCAGAAAAGAAGTACAGTCTCTGCATCAGCCAGGAACTGCACATATCCCAACCCCCTTGCCTTGTTCTCATTTTGTCCTCCTTTACATATCTTTGGAGCTAAAGGTCAGAAAAGAAGTACAGTCTGATGTTATTAACATACAGTAACAACATGTTCAGAAACAAATAGTGGTCTAGCATCAATGGTCGCAAAGAGTCGTAAGAGCGAGGCATCTTTAGCTCCAAAGATATGTAAAGGAGGACAAAATGAGAACAAGGCAAGGGGGTTGGGATATGTGCAGTTCCTGGCTGATGCAGAGACTCTTGTTTATATGATTCTTACATTTTGCACTTGTGGTGTAGAAAGACGGTGGCCTCTGTTAATCTCCCACCTGGTTTTCATGTAAAGCCTAAGGACAACCAACACTACGGCCTAGTTTTGTTTTCTTTAGGGGGAGGGGGAGGTGTACTGATTATGCCATAGACAGAGTAGGCTTTGTCGTACCAACCGTATACGTGTGGTTTTCTTTGAATTTAAGGGTGCTACATAGTGGTTAAATAAAAACAGTCTATCACATTGGCAATATCATTACTAGAGTTTACAAGACTAAAATAAAGGGAGTTGTAATTGTATCTGTAAAGATAAAACATCTCAGTGTTGGTGCTTTGTGTATTGCAATTTATAATAGGTATACAAATGTAATGCCCTGCTACTATTTTCCCTTCCTCTCATACACTAAAGTAACAACAACGTGTGGCTTTTGTTGCGTTTAACACTAGTTCACACCTTAGACAGCAAATATTAGTCAAGGTATTATATGAGTGCCATACCCATTGTACAGCGCTACAGATTCTGATGGTGCTATATAAATAATAGAATAATAATAATAATTACAGATGTAATTGGCTCCTTCTGGCTTTTCTATATAAAAAGAGAGAAATAATTTTTTTATGCCTGCTTATGTTATGGCATAAGATGATCCCTTGTCCCTTTTTCCCTGTATATAGTGACTTATAACTCCATCAGTTTTTTTAATCCCACTCATTTGACTGTATATGACACATGGTCTCTTAAAGTCTGAAACAGGTTTTTAGTTCACTACAATTTGCGGTTTACTAAATAAACACCTGAATATTTTACCAAAGCTTTTTAAAATATATCAGGGAGCTAAATCATCCAAAGCGCAATAAATACTAACTTGGCATAATGAATGTGTGTGTACTATGAGCGATAAGATGCTGCGTCCACACACGTAATCCCATTTCTGATTTTCCATTTAACTAGCGGTCTCTTTATCATAGCATGGGCTCTAGTGGGTTAAGAGGCTTTTCCCACACAGGTTAGAGATTCAGGCTCTTTGTAGGTTAATACTATCTTTCTGTTTGTAGACTGCTAAGCAGCTTACTGGGTTAACATGTGTCAGGTCTGTGAAGTCCTTGAAAGAGTTTAAGGCTGCCACACAGAGTGTGTCCTGCCCCCTGTATCACCTGCTCTGTCAATAAGGACGTGACATTATGACCTTTCCATATGTTAAGTTTATCTATCTTGTAAATGCAGGTTTTAAACAGTGAGGTATCATGTGCATTGAACATTGAAAGACATTGTGTTAGTTTTTACAGGGCAATAGTTGATATAATTTGCATCATACCCTCAATTTAAACGTATTGTGATGGGATTCCAGCATGGTCAAAATTTAGTAGGCCAAAATCTCCATGTGGCATATGTGTATGTTGTGTCAGTTGGTTAGCTACATGTAGCTAGGATACTGTCATCAGTGTACTGAGCATGTGCAGGAATGCAGGAACTGAAATTGCACTTATTTCCTTTGTCTTGGATGAGCCATGTGGTTTGACTAGATGTACAAGTCTATATTCTGCTCATTGATTGGTTAAAGGTATATGTGGGTGTAGCTATTAATGGGAGGAGTTATAGTGCTATATAAGGAATGTACACTATGTGTTGGTCTCTCAGAATGTTGGAACAGGAGTTCATCTGAGACCCGATCGGTAATGTGAATAAAGGCCTGTTACTTCCTGAAGACCTGTGTCCAATATTTCTGTGTTTGGCTTCTGCATGCTTACACTGCAACATTTCTGGTGCAATTGGGCCGGGAACCTCATCGCACGGAAGCTGGCACAGAGATTTGAGACGGTAAACTTTTACCAAACCTTCTACGCTACAATCCTGGACTTCTACTGCGTGGACCTCCTTTCGTCTCGGCGCCACTGGCCTTTTGTCCAGGAGATCATCGGCTTCTGCGCAGTGAGTCCCGGATTGTTCCGTCTATGAGTGAACCCAGGTCCTGAAATTAACAGGTGAGATTGATACCGTTAGAGCGGTAGACCCACAAGGGGTTTTATATTTGGAACCGGTTATTGGTATTGGCCCCTTCAGTAGAAGGAAGAAGTGAAAAGCGCAACACTTATCTGGAAATTAGACGCTCTGTAGTCAGCCCGTCTAATATAGGTGGTTTGGGTCAGACTGAGTTCTGGTGTAAATAGCTCATGTCGGACACCGGTGTCCTGTCTTGACTAGCGTATCTAGGGTGTAAATTTTGTTCGCTAGGTCGGGGGGACCGGGAGACTAGCATACTCTGTTGTATATTATAGTTTGCTAGATTTCACCCTATCTTAACTAAGTGTGCTCTGTTGTAAATCCAGCCACTAGCTTATTGATAGTTTAATAGACTAGCTGGGTACTGTGTAAATTCTGCCCTCTAGTTCGCTATACGTGGTGTCTGGGCAGCGAAGAACTTATCGAATCTCTGGTGTATAAATAGATCGAAAGCTCTCGAGGTGCTGGCCAGTTAGAATAGTTGGGATTATTGTAAATGTTGTTAAATATATTGTAGTTGGTGAATTGGTTAACTTGTATGTCCTACTAGAAAGTTAGAGCTCTGCTGTCTAGTGGGAGTGTAAATTGTGTGTATAACTGTAAAATAGCGCACGGTACCATAACTACTGACATGTACCATAACCACTGACATTGTGTAAAAATTACTAACAATTGCTGTTTTATGTTATATGTATAATACCATAACTGTTACTAACTGATCTGTGACTTTAAAACTGTATTATAACCACTTACTAACTGTACCATAACCACTGACTGTAAAGATGAGGTTACTAGAATGTGATATAGTTGGTTAGTCAAGAGTTGATTTATAGTACGGATAATTGTAGAGATGAATTTGTTGAAATGTTATGTGATCGGTTAGTTTATATGGATTAATAGCGTGGATAGTTGTATGGTTTGAATAATAGTTACATTGATAAGTGTATAGTCTTTGGTGGTTTTTTTGATTTAATTTCGTGTGTGCGACGTCGTGATATTGTTGAGCATGTGAGGATCCTGTGTGTGTGTTTGGGCCTAGTGACTGCGCAATGTGTTGCTGGTGATAAGGAGATTGGTGTGACTGTTGAAACTGTGTGTATATTTGTACAGCTTTTTGAATCAGATGCTCTGTTGAAATAATCTGATTCACTAGGCTGTTAGTCTTTTGTCTTGTATGTTTAAAAAAAAAAAAAAAGTAGGGAGTAGCTTGTCCTGGTGGCCGCATGGCCTCCATGTAGCAGTCTTCACTTAAATTTAGTGCAGGGTGTACATGTGGCTGTAACTAGTAGGCTGGAATTCTATGATCAGTTTCTATAAATTGACTGTTGGAAACTGATTGTTGCCTTGGTGAATTAAACTGTGTCATATGGGAAACAATGTAGCCATATGGTGGTCAGAACTAAGGACTTAATTACAACTGCTTTGGACATCCCCTCCCCCCCTGGCATCTGATTACCAACCCCCCAAACATCCTCCAGAGCCAGATTAGCCACGCCCATTTCTGGCTGGTATAATCAGTATTTGCACTCCCCCTGCTCTACTGTCCCCGCCTACCCACATACCTATCTGTTCCTGTGTTTCAAACTCTTGTATTTCTGTACTACCCCTCCCCCTAATCAATGATCAATGGTATCAGATGGTATATGGTCTTTTTTAGTTACTGGATGGGCCCCTCCCAGCTTTGTCCAAAATGTCCCCTTTTACTAAACTACAAACTGAAATGTTTAATTTACCTTAGAACTAAAGATTTAATCAAGCCTAGCTAGCAGGGTGGACATTGATTAAAATAAGTAATAATAAAATAGGACATAATTAATTAAAGTCTATTTGTTTCATTTGACTTTAGGGAGGCACTCTAAGCCACCTACTGGCCATCTTCGGGAGTTACATTGATAATACATTGTTTATAACAGATAGATGTAGGATTGCTTACCCTATTTTAATATATTTATTGCTATAAGGTTTTATTTTATGTATAAATATATTAAAAGTTGAGTTTTCTTATTAGACCCATAAATATTATTTTGATACAATTACCCTCTGGTGACACCTACTGGTAGGTTTTTGGTTTAACACTTTAAAAAAAAAACATTTTTTCATCCACCAAATGCTGACTAATAAAATTATCTTACTACTCCTAGACTGGAACCTATTATAGGGCAGCCTTGCCGAAGTCCCATATTAGACACTGCTTGAGTCAAATAGGTTGTATACTCCCTTTAATCCAGAGGCCCCTGAAAACTTCCGAATGATAGACTCAGCATTTGTCAGCCAGGCCCAAGGTGATAGTAAAAGGAAATTACAGAAATTAGAGGGATTTGTAGGGATGTCCATAATACAGCTAATGGAGATTGCAAATACAGTATATATGAATAGGGAGACGGAGGAAGAACGTAAAATGAGGAAAAAGGAAGATATGCTAGCGGTAGCTATCTTAAGTGTAGAAAGACAGGGAAGTGAATAGAGGAGATGAGAATAGGCTGAGCAAGGGACTTTAAGTAGGAATTAATGTGCGTATTGTAGAAAGGAGGGACATTGGAAGAGTGAGTGTCCACAGAGAGAGCAGTATGAAGGTGATAGACAAGGAGAGAGAAGGGTACGAGGAGGTTATAGTGGTAGTTATAGAGTAAGAGGAAGTTTTAGAGGGAATGGTGGGAATAGTAGAGGAAGTGTTCAAGGAGACAGATACTATCCACCCACGCAGAGACCTAGAGAAAGAGAGGATAGAGATTTTGTGGGTCTGGCTGACACTATCATGGAAGACTATTGATACCGACTGGGCTCCATCCCACTTGGTCGAGCGGAGCCTATGGTCGATGTAGCAATAGGGGGAAAGAGAAGTTCTTTCATGATCGACACAGGTGCTGAACATTCTGTGGTGACTAAGATGGTGGCTCCGCCTTCGGGGAAGACTATAACTGTGATAGGAGCTACTGGGAGAAGTGCAGCTAGACCGGTTCTTAAGAGTCGCACTTGTATTCTGGGAGGCCATGTGGTGAAGCATTAGTTCCTATATATGCCAGAGTGTCCGATTCAACTTTTAGGATGAGATCTATTATCGAAGCTTTAAGCTCAGATAACCTTTTACCTAATGGATTAACATCTCTGAAGTTTAAGGGATTACCAGGCATAATGGTGATATCGGTGCCAAGGGAAGAAGAATGACGCTTCTATTCCATAGTGACAAGTGTTAACCCTAAGAGTGATGAATCCTTACTTGACATTCCAGGAGTATGGGAAGAAAATAATCCTCCAGGACTTGCTCGTAATATCCCACCAATACATATTGAGTTAAAGCTCGGGGTGTATCCTGTTAGCCTTTGTATGTTGTTCTTTTATCTACCCCAACAGCTGTAAAGGTGGCGGAAGTGACTCCTTGGATTCATCATTCTAAGGTTAAACCAGCAGCAGACTCTTGGCAAGCTACTCCAGATCCTGAGAATCCTTGCAGGACCCGGTTGAAGCGTGCAACTCAGTCGGAGTGACGAGGGGATATCGAGACATTCTAATTAAAAGTCTACAAAGATCATCAAGTAGGTGTTTTGACGGCCATAATAAAGCCTGACCACCTGCCTACGTGTCATAGCCAGAGTATCTTGAAGGGATCTCTGTGAAGGAAAGTGAGGATCAGAAGAACAACATCCTTGCAGCCCTCACAATCGGGAAGCTGAGAGGCCATCGCACGGTTGAAGAAAAATGAGGATTTCAGGAATAATGTGTTTTATTGTGTCTTAGTATTTTTATGATTTTTCAGGAAGGTAGGAGTACAGACATACCGAATTGCGATAGTTGCATTAAGACTACTAAAACAGGTAACCAAATATCCCAAACTCTCATCTGGCACTCACAGTATGAATGTAAGGGATCTGTATCTAAATGTAGATATTTGGATATTGATTATAGTGTGTGCAAGCCAATATCAGGAGAGTCTAAATGTTTTGATCCCCATTTCCAACCCCGTACAATTTGGTTGGTAATTCGGAATAGTAACTCCCAGGGGACATTAATAAATAGGACTGTGATAAGCACCATACATTCCATGGGTATTCTACTATTTGATGCATGTAAGGCGATTTCGGGTAGTGGAAGACTTTGGAATGTATGTGGTAATCTTAAATGGGAACGAACTTATGGGTTTAATGATAAATACTTATGTCCCAGTAAAAGATCTACTGATCCTGATTGCCCAAATAGAGACTAACTTCTGCCCCTATTTGTCATGTGTAGGTTGGGCAACCTGGGAAAAACAGTGGATCAAGATATGATTATCCAAAGGTTGCCTACCACACCATACTGTAAAACTATGTGTGTAACCCCGTTCACATGACCATTTCCAATCTGCAGTACTTTATTGACAGGTTTGGAGGTCTGTTTGGGTTTCAAATATATGGCACAGGAGTAGATTCAGGAACAATAATATATGTAGGTCTTGAAACTGAGACAGTGGCAACTCAAACTCATCAGGTTTCTCATTCCTTCTATGAGGAGATGAGTATTGAGGATAAAATTCCCCATAATGTTAACAACCTATTTATTGATTTGGCTGAGGGTATTGCAGGTAGTCTTAATGTAACTAATTGCTATGTGTGTGGAGGTACTAATATGGGAGACCAGTGGCCATGGGAGGCAAAGGAAATATGGTACCCTGGCTCTGAGACATATGAACAACAGATACCTTTCCAGTCTGATCATCAAGTAAGTACTAGAAGTAAATTGGAATGGTGGTTAAAAACCTCCATTATAGGTCATGTTTGTATAGCCAGGAAAGGGACAATGTATAACACGTCTGTAGGTGAGCTAACGTGCTTGGGACAAAAAGCCTATAATGTTAATACTAAAAATACTACTTGGTGGTCAGCTTCAAATGTCTCGGAACCTACTAATCCGTTTGCCAATTACACTCATTTAAAGGAGGTATGGTTTGACTTATCGGCTACATCTAGTTGGAAAGCCCCAGCAAATTTATACTGGATTTGTGGTAAGAAAACTTATTCGGAGTTACCACAAGATTGGGAAGGGGCATGTGTATTAGGTATGCCAAAGCCATCCTTCTTCTTGTTGCCAATCGAAACAGGAGAGACCTTGGGAGTTAAGGTTTACGATGTAAATCATAAAAGGGAGAGAGCATCCTTGAATATAGGTAGCTGGGAAGATAATGAGTGGCCCCCTCAACGTATTATTAATTATTATGGACCTGCTACTTGGGCAGAAGATGGCACTTATGGATATAGAACTCCGATTATCTATGCTCAACCGCATTATTAGACTACAGGCGGTAGTTGAGATTATTACTAATGACACAGCTCAAGTGCTTAATCTTCTAGCTAAGCAAAATACCAAGATGTGATCAGCCATATACCAGAATAGGCTAGCCCTTGATTACTTACTAGCAGTAGAAGGAGGTGTATGCGGAAAGTTTAATCTAAGTAACTGTTGTCTGCACATAGATGATGAAGGGCAGGCAGTGGCTGAATTTACAAGCCACATGGTTAAATTTGAGCATGTACCTACTCAGGTCTGGAATGGGTATAACCTAAGTAGTTGGTTTGGAAGTTGGTATGAGCAGCTTGGAGGAATTAAGACATTAGTAGGAGGAGTAGAATTTATTATTTTTTTTTGTGCCTCCTCCTGCCCTGTCTAATTCCACTAGTGGTAAGGTCCCTACGTAGTATTATAGAGAGTACTAGAGAGAAAGACAGCGGCTCATGTAATGGCTGTCTGGAAGATATGATCCCCTAGCCCGAAGAGAATATATTCAGGATGAAGAATGTTGAAGGAGTTTTTAAGATGCTTACAAGGTCTACTCTGGTTCAATGGCTACTTGAGAGATGTAGGTAAAACTGTGATTGGTGATGCATCTGGAATAATGTTATATCAGAGGCATCAAAAGGGGGGAATGTGATGGGATTCCAGCATGGTCAAAATTTAGTAGGCCAAAATCTCCATGTGGCATATGTGTATGTTGTGTCAGTTGGTTAGCTACATGTAGCTAGGATACTGTCATCAGTGTACTGAGCATGTGCAGGAATGCAGGAACTGAAATTGCACTTATTTCCTTTGTCTTGGATGAGCCATGTGGTTTGACTAGATGTACAAGTCTATATTCTGCTCATTGATTGGTTAAAGGTATATGTGGGTGTAGCTATTAATGGGAGGAGTTATAGTGCTATATAGGAAATGTACACTATGTGTTGGTCTCTCAGAATGTTGGAACAGGAGTTCATCTGAGACCCGATCGGTAATGTGAATAAAGGCCTGTTACTTCCTGAAGACCTGTGTCCAATATTTCTGTGTTTGGCTTCTGCATGCTTACACTGCAACAGTATCCCTCAATTTTTGTATTAAATCCCATTTATTCTATTTGTCATCTAATAAACCAACTCATTTTAAGATAATAGCAAAGAAAATAATGGACCAACATAAACTATAACGATACAGAATAGCCGAACAAATCAGAGTTTGCTGAGCCCTATTTGAACATAATGAATTATTGGCTGACAGGGATGTTAACTGGGCTAGAGTCACACAATATTAGCTAGGGCTGTTTGCGAGCTGATAAATCCTGCTTTCTTGGCGCAGGGGTCAGTCACCAGGATAAGCTGTGTAGAATTGGTGACATGCACCTATCCAGGTGTTTCCAACAGTAGCTACCTATGAGTGAAAGCTGTGTAAACCCAAAAGTAATTAAAGGACCACTATAGTGCCAGGAAAACATACTCGTTTTCCTGGCACTATAGTGCCCTGAGGGTGCCCCCACCCTCAGGGTCCCCCTCCCGCCCGGCTCTGGAAGGGGGAAAGGGGTAAAAACTTACCTTTTTCCAGCGCACGGAGAGAGCTCTCCTCCTCTCCCCCTCCGATCGCCCGCCGGCTGAATGCGCACGCCGGCAAGAGCTGCGCGCGCATTCAGCCGCATAGGAAAGCATTTACAATGCTTTCCTATGGACGCTGGCGTGCTCTCACTGTGAAAATCACAGTGAGAAGCACGCAAGCGCCTCTAGTGGCTGTCAATGAGACAGCCACTAGAGGATTAGGGGGAAGGCTTAACCCATTCATAATTATAGCAGTTTCTCTGAAACTGCTATAATTATGAAAAAATGGGTTAACCCTAGAAGGACCTGGCACCCAGACCACTTCATTAAGCTGAAGTGGTCTGGGTGCCTAGAGTGGTCCTTTAAAGGGACACTCCAGGCACCCAGACCACTTCTGCCCATTGGAGTGGTCTGGGTGCCAACTCTCACTACCCTTAACCCTGCAACTGTAAATATTGCAGTTTTCATAAACTGCAATATTTACATTGCAGGGTTAACTGTTCCTCTAGTGGCTGTCTATTAGACAGCCACTAGAGGGCACTTGTTTATAGCACAGATTTTGTGCTAGAGCGTCGCTGGACGTCCTCACGCTATGTGAGGACCTCCAGCGTCGCTAAAATCCCCATAGGAAAGCATTGAAAGCATTTTCAATGCTTTCCTATGGAGAGGTCTAATGCGCGTGCGCGGCATTGCCGCACATGCGCAATCGGTCTCCACCGCCAGATGACGTCGGTGGGGGAGGAGCGTGGGCGGACCCTAAACCAGTGCCGAGGGACATCGGCGCTGGTCTCAGGTAAATCACTGAAGGGGTTCTAACCCTTTCAGCAACATGGGATTGGGGGGTGGGAGGGAGAGGGGATCTGCAGTGCCAGGAAAACGATTTGTTTTCCTGGCACTGGAGTGTCCCTTTAAGTAGGAATTTCTCCACTCGCTTTTAAACAGTCGTCTGAAGAAGCTGAAACCCAGAAAGGAATATTAACACTCAAAACAGGCAAATGTCCAGGTTCCCAAGGCCGGTATGATGTAGTGGTTACGGTGCTTAGACTAGCTTTCTACATTCTCTGATAAAACTGAGTAAAGGCAGTATGTTCAATCCTATTTTATTCTCTGTTATGGAAAGCTGGATGGAGAGTTGGAGTTGCAGCCCTCACTGATCCATAACACCACAGAGTGGAATCATAGACCAGTAAAAAAAAATATATATATATATATATATATATATATATAGAAAGTGGAAAGACCGGCACTCAAGGAGTTTTAACAGTTTTTACTGTGTAAAGATAAATCAACGTTTCAGCTCCACTAGGGAGCTTTCATCAGGTATGTCCTGATGAAAGCTCCCTAGTGGAGCTGAAACGTTGATTTATCTTTACACAGTAAAAACTGTTAAAACTCCTTGAGTGCCGGTCTTTCCACTTTCTACAATTGAGCTACCAGAGCACCAGGTATAATATATCTTTTTATTGGAGTGCAGGGGTTTGACATATTTTTTGTATATATATATATCTATATATATATATATAGATATATATATATATATATATATATTATTTTTATTTTTTTAATGAAAGTTCATCTACTTGTTTGTAGTGTTTTCTGTGAGTGGAAACAAGGTAAACATGATAGGGAACATGAAGCAAAGATCACTTTTCTAAATAAGCTGTAAACTAAAAAACAAAGTTTTATTGCGCCTCACGGGACAGACAATATGAACCATTTCCTGTGGTCATGAACGTGGTTAAAGTGGGTAGAATGCAGATTGCTCTGTAGTTGCCTTTCTGTTGTCTTTCCATATTTCATAGCATTGCTGTAGAATAGTAGCAGCTTAACTCACACTTCCTGAAGCTGCAGTGGACAGACTTTGGTCTACACTTTTTAATTAAAATGCATTAGCAGTACAAGCAGTAGTCTATGATTAATTCATGACATCCCAAATACAGTTAGCCTCATGAATTTATCTCATAGATGACCTCTTGAAAAGACCCTGATATTGGCAACAGCAAAGACTTCCTATTTCACTGTTGATGTAACTTAAAGGAACACTCCAGCATTAGTAAAATAAACACATTTATTTACAACGCTGGAGGGTTGAAAAGGTAATTTACATGCAGGCCTCCCATAGTCCTCGAAAAACTATCACCTACCTATAATCCAATGGTAAAAGGGTCCTCTCACTGCAGGTCTACTCTGCTCCCCAGGTGAAGATCTCACAGCCAATCAAATGCTTTTCACAGAGAAGCATTGAGATGCAGTGAGCATGTGTCATAATTACCATGCTGCTTTTTCTCTGCAAATGTTGTAATTAATGAATTTTCAATAATAACACAATAATTTTAAAAAGTAATTAATAATAACAATAATAACCGGGGAATAATTGTAACAGGCATCATCCAATGCTATAAAATATATATACACTGCTCAAAAAAATAAAGGCAACACTTAAACAACACAATGTAACTCCAAGTCAATCACACTTCTGTGAAATCAAACTGTCCACTTAGGAAGCAACACTGAGTGACAATCAATTTCACATGCTGTTGTGCAAATGGGATAGACAACAGGTGGAAGTTATAGGCAATTAGCAAGACACCCCCAATAAAGGAGTGGTTCTGCAGGTGGTGACCACAGACCACTTCTCAGTTCATATGCTTCCTGGCTGATGTTTTGGTCACTTTTGAATGCTGGTGGTGCTTTCACTCTAGTGGTAGCATGAGACGGAGTCTACAACCCACACAAGTGGCTCAGGTAGTGGATGGCACATCAATGCGAGCTGTGGCAAGAAGGTTTGCCGTGTCTGTCAGCGTAGTGTCCAGAGCATGGAGGCGCTATCAGGAGACAGGCCAGTACATCAGGAGACATGGAGGAGGCCGTAGGAGGGCAACAGCCCAGCAGCACGACCGCTACCTCCGCCTTTGTGCAAGGGCAACAGGAGGAGCACTGCCAGAGCCCTGCAAAATGACCTCCAGCAGGCCACAAATGTGCATGTGTCTGCTCAAACGGTCAGAAACAGACTCCATGAAGGTGGTATGAGGGCCCGACATCCACATGTGGGGGTTGTGCTTACAGCCCAACACCGTGCAGGACATTTGGCAAATTGGCCACTGATGCCCTGTGCTCTTCACAGATAAAAGCAGGTTCACACTGAGCACATGTGACAGACGTGACAGAGTCTGGAGACGCCATGGAGAACGTTCTGCTGCCTGCAACATCCTCCAACATGACCGGTTTGGCAGTGGGTCAGTAATGGTGTGGGGTGGCATTTCTTTGGGAAGCCACACAGCCCTCCATTTGCTCACCAGAGGTAGCCTGACTGCCATTAGGTACCGAGATGAGATCCTCAGACCCCTTGTGAGACCATATGCTGGTGCGGTTGGCCCTGGGTTCCCCCTAATGCAAGACAATGCTAGACCTCATGTGGCTGGAGTATGTCAGCAGTTCCTGCAAGATGAAGGCATTGATGCTATGGACTGGCCCGCCCGTTCCCCAGACCTGAATCCAATTGAGCACATCTAGGACATCATGTCTCACTCCATCCACCAACGTCACGTTGCACCACAGACTGTCCAGGAGTTGGCAGATGCTTTAGTCCAGGTCTGGGAGGAGATCTCTCAGGAGACCATCTGCCACCTCATCATGAGCATGCACAGGCGTTGTAAGGCGGTTATACAGGCACGTGGAGGCCACACACACTACTGAGCCTCATTTTGACTTGTTTTAAGGACATTACATCAAAGTTAGATCAGCCTGTAGTGTGTTTTTCCACTTTAATTTTGAATGTGACTCCAAATCCAGACCTCCATGGGTTGAAAAATTTGATTTCCATTTTTTTATTTTTGTGTGATTTTGTTGTCAGCACATTCAACTATGTAAAGAACAAAGTATTTCAGAAGAATATTTAATTTATTCAGATCTAGGATGTGTTATTTTTGTGTTCCCTTTATTT